GGCTCAGTTTAATTGTTATATTACAATAATTAATATTGCTGTGAGCATGGAGCACTACCGGGGTAACAAGACAAAATTAATTAATATACAGTCATAATTAATAGTACTGTGAGCATGGAGCACTACCGGGGTGAGGAACAGGGTAACAGGTCTATCTGAATTGATAGATAATAATAATTGTTGTTATTGTGAGCATGGAGCACTACCACGGTAAAGAGACAAAAGTAATTAATATACAATGATAATTAATAGTAGTGTGAGCATGGAGCAGGACGGAGGTGAGAGGTTGGGGGTCACGAGACTTGATTAATTAATTTATAATGATTTTTGTGGTATTGTGAGTATGGAGCACTACTGGGATGAGGAACAGGGTAACAGGTCTATCTGAATTTATATATAGTAATAATTGTTGTTATTGTGAGCATGGAGCACTACCAGGGTGACAGGTTCAGGATAACAGGCCTTGTATTAATTAATAAATACTAATAAATAATGTTATTGTGAGCATGGAGCACTACCGGGGTAACAAGACTTGATTAATTAATTTATAGTGATAATTAATAGTGGTGTGAGCATGGAGCACTACCGGGTTGAGAGATCTGGGATAACGGGACTATCTGAATTAATATGTAATAATAATAATTATTGTTATTGTGAGCATGGAGCACTACCGGGGTAACGAGACTTGATTAATTAATTTAGAATGATAATTAATAGCATTGTGAGCATGGAGCAGTACGGAGGTGAGGAATGGAGTAACAGGTCTATCATAATTAATATATAACAATAATTAATATTGTTATGAGCATGGAGCACTGCAGAGGTGAGAGGTTCAGGATAACGGGACTATCTTAATTAATATATAATGATAATTATTGTTATTGTGGGCATGGAGCACTACCAGGGCGAGGAGCTTCGGTTAATTAATTTAGAATGATAATTAATAGTATTGTGAGCATGGAGCACTGCAGAGGTGAGAGATCCGGGATAACGGGCCATATTAATTAATAT